CACCATCACTACCACCTCTACCATCACGCTACCACCTCTACCACAATCACTACCACCATCACTACCACCTTCTACCATCATCGCTACCACCCTCTACCACAATCACTACCACCATCACTACCACCTTCTACCATCATCGCTACCACCTCTACCACATCACTACACCACACACCTCTAACCATCATCAGCTACCACCCTCTACCACAATCACTACCACCATCACTACCACCTTCTACCATCATCGCTACCACCCTCTACCACAATCACTACCACCTTCTACCATCATCACTACCACCCTCTACCACATCACTACCACCCTCTACCACAATCACTACCCACCATCACTACCACCTTCTACCATCATCACTACAACCCTCTACCACAATCACTACCACCATCACTACCACCTTACTACACATACCACCCTCTACACAATACACACCCTCTACCACAATCACTACCACCATCACTACCAACCTCTACCCCATCACTACCACCCTCTACCACAATCACTACCACTCTACCACATCACTACCACCCTCTACCACCATCACTACCACCCTCTACCACCAATCACTACCACCCTCTACCACCATCACACCAACCTCTACACATCACTACACCCTCTACCACCATCACTACCACCTACCACCATCACTACCACCCTCTACCACCATCACTACCACCCTCTCCCCCGTCACTACCACCCCCTACCATCATCACTACCACCCTCTACCACAATCACTACCACACCCTTCTACCATCATCGCTACCACCCTCTACCACAATCACTACCACCTTCTACCACCATCACTACCACCTCTACCACCATCACTACCGATCCTCTACTACCATCACTACCCACCCCTACCACCATCACTACCAACCTCTACCACCATCACTACCACCCTCTACCACCATCACTACCACCCTCTACCACAATCACTACCACCATCACTACCACTTCACCATCATCCTACCACCCTCTACCACATCACTACCACCTTCTACCACCATCACTACCACCCTCTACCACCATCACTACCACCTTCTACCACAATAACCACCCTACCACCATCACTACCAACCCTACCACCATCAACTACCACCCTCTACCACCATCACTCCACCCTCTCCCTACCACCCACCCTCTACCATCATCACTACCACCTCTACCACAATCACTACCACCCTCTACCACCATCACTCACCTCTACCCAATAACTACCACCTTCCTACCACATAACTACCACCCTCTACCACAATCACTTCCACCTTAAACCACACCCTCACCCATCACTTCCATCCTCTACTTCATCACTACCACCCTCTACCACCATCACCACCACCCCTCACCACCATCACTACCACCCTCTACCACCATCACTACCACCCTCTACCACCATCCACCTTCTACCACAATAACTACCACCTTCTACCACAATCACTACCACCCTCCACCTATGTAGAGGATGGCAGTGATATTTCTCCACAAAACTTTGCAATTCGTTCCACTTTTGTACAATGCTACTAATTCTTTCTCAAATTCTATTGTGTTTCTCACCTTTATCAAAGGGCTGGCACCCGTAACTTTCTTTGGCCCCATGGTGGCTTATTTAGCAGTCACACTCAATAAACAAGCACAAAAAACAATGGGTTTTTATGAAATGTTTCAGATGAATGCACAGGGTAATGCTCACTTGACGACAAACAAAGCCAGACTGACTCAGAACACGTGGGATGCATTGTGTGGGCGCAGGCAGGCGGACACGTTCAGTATGGTGGACCACTGTCAACTTGACGAAAACCGAGGTGATGAACAAAAACTGGGACAAGATTTTGATGAAAAAAGGCGTCGAAAACTGAATTTGACGAAAACCAGGGCAAACGACAACCGAGGTTCCACTGTATAAGTATATGCTTATATATATAAGTGTGCATTTGTGTTATGCTGGAGAGTAGTTACCATGTAAATTACTATATAACTGGTTGACATATAGCTCATGGGCTGCCAAAAATACTTAAATATGAAGACAACTTTAGGGGTAATAGTAATAACTCTAAGATATTAACAGAGCTATATCTGGAGGTTCACAGTGGTGTTGGGAGGTTCACAGTGGTGCTGGGAGGTTCACAGTGGTGCTGGGAGGTTCACAGTGGTGCTGGAGGTTCACAGTGGTGCTGGGAGGTTCACAGTGGTGCTGGGAGGTTCACAGTGGTGTTGGGAGGTGTCACAGTGGTGTTGGGGGATTTCACAGTGGTGCTTGGGAGGTTCACAGTGATGTTGTAGGGGTTCACAGTGGTGTTGGAGGTTCACAGTGGTGCTGGGAGGTTCATGTGTGTGTGAGGTTCACATGGTGTTGGGAAGTCACAGTTCGTCTCAGGCGTTCAGTGAGTGCTGGGATGGTTCTGGCTAGAGGTTCACAGTGGTGCTGGGAGTTCACAGTGTGACTGGGAGGTTCACAGTGGTGTTGGGAGGTTCACAGTGGTGCTGGGAGGTTCACAGTGGTGCTGGGAGGTTCACAGTGGTGTTGGGAGGTTCACAGTGGTGTTGGAACGTTCACAGTGGTGTTTGGAGGTTCACAGTGGTGTTGGAGGGGTTACAGTGTACGGAGGTTCACAGTGGTGCTGGGAGGTTCATAGTGGTGTTGTGAGGTTCACAGTGATGCTGGGAAGTTCACAGTTCTTCCAGGATTGCAGTGATGCTGGGTGGTTTTCAGAGGTTCACAGTGGTGCTGGGAGATTCACAGTAGTACTGGGAGGTTAGTGGTGTTGGGAGGTTCACAGTGGTGCTGGGAGGTTCACAGTGGGGATGAAAGGTTCACATTGGTGCTGGGAGGTTCACAGTGGGGATGAAAGGTTCACAGTGGTGTTGTGAGGTTCACAGTGGTGCTGGGAGGTTAACAGTCGTACCAGAAGGTTCACAGTGGTGTTGGGAGGTTCACAGTGGTGCTGGGAGGTTCACAGTGGTGCTGGGAGGCTTAAGTGGTCGCGGGAGGTTTAACAGTGGTACTGTGAGGTGAGTACGGTTTCTGTGTGAGTCACAGTGGTGCTGGGAGGTTCACAGTAGGTAGTTGGAGGTTAGTGGTGTGGAAGGTTCACAGTGGTGCTGGAAGGTTCACAGTGGTGTTGAGAGGTTCACAGTGGTGTGAAATTCACAGTGGTGCTGGGAGGTTCACAGTGGTGCTGGGAGGTTAACAGTGGTGCTAGAAGGTCACAGTTGTGTTTGGGAGGTTCACAGTGTGTGGAAGGTTCACAGTGGTGCTGGGAGGTTCACAGTGGTGCTGAGAGGCTTATAGTGGTGCTGGGAGGTTAACAGTGGTACTGGAAGGTATACAGTTTTGTTGTGAGGTTCACAGTGGTGCTGGGAGGTTCACAGTGGTGTTGTGAGGTTAACAGTGGTGCTGGAAGGTTCACAGTGGTGCTGGAAGGTTCAGTGGTGTTGTGAGGTTCACAGTGGTGCTGGGAGGTTCACAGTGGTGCTGGGAGGTTAACAGTGTTGGGAGGTTCACAGTGGTGTGAGGATCACAGTGGTTCTGGGAGGTTCACAGTGGTGCTGGAAGGCTAACAGTGGTGCTGGAAGGTTCACAGTTGTGTTGGGAGGTTCACAGTGATGTGAGGTTCACAGTGGTGCTGGGAGGTTCACAGTGGTGCTGAGAGGCTTAGTGGTGCTGGGAGGTTAACAGTGGTACTGGAAGGTATACAATACAGTTTTGTTGTGAGGTTCACAGTGGTGTTGTGAGGTTCACAGTGGTGCTGGGAGGTTCACAGTGGTGTTGTGAGGTTCACAGTGGTGCTGGGAGGTTAACAGTGTTGGGAGGTTCACAGTGGTGTGAAGATCACAGTGGTTCTGGGAGGTTCACAGTGGTGCTGGAAGGCTAACAGTGGTGGTGGAAGGTTCACAGTGGTGCTGGGAGGTTCACAGTAGTGTTGGGAGGTGAGTGGTGTTGGGAGGTTCACAGTGGTGCTGGGAGGTACACAGTGGTGTGAGGTTCACAGTGGTGCTGGGAGGTTCACAGTGGTGCTGGGAGGTTCACAGTGGTGCTGGGAGGTTCACAGTGGTGTGACATTCACAGTGGTGCTGGGAGGTTCACAGTGGTGCTGGGAGGTTAGTGGTGTTGGGAGGTTCACAGTGGTGCTGGAAGGTTCACAGTGGTGTTGAGAGGTTCACAGTGGTGTGACATTCACAGTGGTGCTGGGAGGTTCACAGTGATGCTGGGAGGTTCACAGTGGTGCTGGGAGGTTAACAGTGATGCTGGAAGGTTCACAGTTGTGTTGGGAGGTTCAGTGGTATTGTGAGGTTTACAGTGGTGCTGGGAGGTTCACAGTGGTGCTGAGAAGTTCACAGTGGTGCTGGGAGGTTAACAGTGGTACTGGAAGGATCACAGTGGTGTTGGGAGGTTCACAGTGGTGTTGTGAGGTTCACAGTGGTACTGGGAGGTTAACAGTGGTGATGAAAGGTTCACAGTTTTGTTGTGAGGTTCACAGTGGTGCTGGGAGGTTCACAGTGGTGTTGTAAGGTTCACAGTGGTGCTGGGAGGTTAACAGTGGTGATGGAAGGTTCACAGTTTTGTTGTGAGGTTCAGTGGTGCTGGGAGGTTCACAGTGGTGTTGTGAGGTTCACAGTGGTGCTGGGAGGTTCACAGTGGTGCTGGGAGGTTCACAGTGGTGTTGGGAGGTTCACAGTGGTGCTGGGAGGTTCAGTGGTGTGAGGTTCACAGTGGTACTGGGAGGTTCACAGTGGTGCTGGGAGGTTCACAGTAGTGTTGGGAGGTGAGTGGTGTTGGGAGGTTCACAGTGGTGCTGGAGGTTCACAATTCTTCCAGGATTGCAGTAATGCTGGGTGGTTCACAGAGGTCACAGTGGTGCAGGGAGTTCATCAGTGGTGCTGGGAGGTTCACAGTAGTGTTGGGAGGTGCACAGTGGTGTGGGAGGTTCACAGTGGTGCTGGGAGGTTCACACATTCTTCCAGGATTGCAGTAATGCTGGGTGGTTCTCAGAGGTTCACAGTGGTGCTGGGAGGTTCATAGTGGTGCTGGGAGGTTCACAGTAGTGTTGGGAGGTTAGTGGTGTTGGGAGGTTCACAGTGGTGCTGGGAGGTTCACAGTGGTGCTGGGAGGTTCACAGTTGTGCTGGGAGGTTCACAGTGGTGCTGGGAGGTTCACAGTGGTGCTGGGAGGTTCACAGTGGTGCTAGAGGTTCACAATTCTTCAGGATTGCAGTGATGCTGGGTGGTTCTCAGAGGTTCACAGAGGACCTGTGAGGCTCTCAAAAGCTCACAGAGGTTTAGCTGGAGGTTCAGCTAGAGCTCTCTCAAGATGACGTCTCTTACGTTCAGCTCTACGAACTTCAGCTTCCAGCTTCTTCTCTTCCTTCACCCGAGCTTTACGAGACTGTTCACAACTCTGTAAGAATATATCTGAATATATGAATATGGGAATATTTATATGGGAGTAGGAGAATATATGGAAATGTTTATATTATATGGGAGTAAAATATATGGGAATGTGATAATATGTGGGAGTATGCATGATAATATATGGGAATATATAAGAATATATGGTAGTATATATAAGAATATATGGGAGTATGTATATGAATACATGGGAGTATATATGAGAATATATAGTAATATATGAGAATATGTGTGAATATATACGAGAATACATGGGAGTATATGAAACTATATGAGTTTATAAGAATGTATGAAAATATATGACAGTATATGAGAGTATATATGGCAATGTATGGGAGTATATATTGGAATATATGGATTTATACATGAGAATATATGGTAATATATATAACAATATATGGTAGTATATATGAATATGTATGGGAGTAAATATGAGAATATATGGAAGTATATTTGACTGTCTCAACATAAGTTTAAGTTAGTAGTCTTAAAGATTACCTGACCAGGAAGATACCCGTAAAAGTTAGCAGTCTTAAAGGTTACCTACCCCTGGAAAATGAGTAAATACCAGTAAAGTTTGTTATCTAACCTGTATGATAGCAGCATAGGTTTAAGTTAGCAGTCTTAAAGATTACCTAGCTTATAAGATAGCAGCACAGGTTTAAGTTAGCAGTCTTAAAGATTACCTGACTTGAAAGATATCCATAAAAGTTTAAGTTAGCAGTCCTAAAGATTACCTGACTAGGACAATACCCATAAAAGTTGAAGTTAGCAGTCTTAAAGGTTACCTACCTCTGGAAGATGAGTAAACAATACTAGTAAGTTTGTTAGTAATCTTATAAATTACTTAACCTATAAGATAGCAGCACAGGTTTAAGTTAGCAATCTTAAAAGTTACTTCACCTGGAAGATAACATCTCGTAGTTTAGGGTCAATATTGTCCAGCTGGGCACAGAGGTCAGTAACTCTGGCCTCCAGCAGTGCTAACAGTGCCTCTTGACCCATCCCAGCACTTACTGCTGGCTTTAATGGCACTGATGTCATCTCTGTGGCTTCTGGCTTTACTTCACCCGCTTTATAAAGGAATAAAGATAATTACTTTTTTCTTTCATACATAGTTTTAAGAACAGGGTTCAAAAAGCTAAAAACTGTATCTGATATGTGGAAAATTGAGAGGAAGGGACAGGAGCTGTGACTCAACCCTTGCATCCACAGACTAATACACTTACATTTAGGGACTGCAGTGGTCTTAACAGGCTGTTTCTTGGCACTGCTGGCACTGGTGGTTTCTGGCACTAGTGGAGAATACTCACTGGAGCCAAACACATCACTCACAACCTCAGCAATCTGAAAAAAATGATCAGATTTGAAAAACCCATGTATGTAATCAAGTTTAATATGCGAGGGTGTTAGTTACCTTACACCTGCTGTCACTGTTCACCTAGCAGTCAGTAGGTACCTAGGAGTTAGTTACCTTACATCTGCTGTTACTATTCACCTAGCAGTATATAAGTACCTGCAGTCATTCACCTAGCACTAAGCAGGTACCTACATGTTGGTTACCTTACATCTGCTATCAATGTTCACCTAGCACTAAGTAGGTACCTAGGTGTTAGTCACCTTACACCTGCTGTCACTGTTCACCTAACAGTAATTAGGTACCTGGATTTTAGGTGATGGGAGGCTGTTGAACAGTCTTGGTCCCTTAGGCTTTCCCAATTGTAAATTATGATGCATCTTTCTCGCCTGCATTACATGGAGTACAGGTCAAGGAATTAATGACTTAAACATTATTATCACTGGTGCCTATTAACTGCTAGGTAAACAGTGACAGCAACAGCAGAAGATGTAAGGTGACTTGCACATATATCTCACCCTGCCCAGGATGCCACCCACAACAGTCAACTAACATGTATAGAATCACAAAGGACCTTGGAAAATAAGGAGATGAGCCAAAGAGAGAGAAATGAATATACATGGATAAGGAGGGAGGTCAAGCGACAGTTAAGAGAATAACGTAGCATCGAAAGCCAAATCTGACCCAAAGTTGTTTGTTATACAGTCAGATCAGGAGGAAAACAGTCAAGGACCAGGGGGTCAGGCTGAGGAAGGAAGGAGGGAAGATCACAAGAAATGTCTGAGAAATATATGAAGAGCACAATACCAGATTTAGGGAAGTATTTCCAGTGGAGACAGAAAGGTTTCCAGCAAATTGGGATGGCAGAGTACACCAGCAAGTGCTGGACACAATACACACAACCGAGGAAGAGGTGAAGAGGTTGCTAAGTGAACTATATACCTCACAGACAACATCTCTCCATGGGTCCTGAGCTGAGACTGTGTGTGTACCACTAACAACAACCTTCAACACATCTATCATAACAGGGTTTGGAAGAAAGAAAATGTAGTCCCAATTTTTAAGAAAGGAGACAGACAAGTAGCATTAAACTACAGGCCAGTGTCACTGACATGTATAATATGTAAAGTTATGGAGAAGATTATCAGAAGAGTGGTGGAGCAGATAGAAAGGAATGAGCATACATACGACAACCAGCACGGTTTCAGGGAAGGGAAATCCTGCATCACAAACCTACTGGAGTTTTTATGACAAGGTTACAGAAGACAGGAAAAAGAGGGGTGGGTAGACTGCATTTTGTTGGACTGTAAGAAGGCTTTCGAAACAGCTCTGCACAAGATTAATGCAAAAACTAGAGGTGCAGGCAGGAATAACAGGAAAGGCACTGCAATGGCTCAGGGAATACCTGGCAGGAAGGAAACAAGAGTGATGGCATGTGACGAGGTGTCAAAATGGGCAACTGTGACGAGCGGGGTTCCGCAGGGGTAAGTCCTGGGGCCGGTGCTGTTTTTGGTATATGTGAATAACATGAAGGAAGGGATAGATTCAGAGGTGTCCCTGTTTGTGGATGATGTGAAGCTGATGAGGAGAATACAAGCTGATGAGGATCAGGCAGGACTACAGAGGGCTCTGGACAGGCTGCAAACCTGGCTCCTAGAGTTTAAACCTACCAAGTGCAAAGTCATGAAAATTGGGGAAGGTCTAAGAAGACCGCAGACGGAGTACAGGTTAGGGTGCCAAAGACTGCAAACCTCACTTAAAGAAAAGGATCTAACTGCTGCAGCATATGGGCAGGTAGGTAAGACACATAGGCAACAGTTAGGCAACTTTATTCCGAAACGTTTCGCCTACACAGTAGGCTTCTTCAGTCGAATACAGAAAGTAGGCAGAAGCAGTAAAGATGTGAAGATGATGTAATCAGTCCATCACCTTGAAGTCTATGGAACTGAACTTCTCCAGGCTGAGGGACTGACAACCTCAAAATTCTACGACTTCAAGGGTGATGGACTGATTACATCGTCTTCACATCTCTACTGTTCCTGCCTACTTTCTGTATTCGACTGAAGAAGCCTACTGTGTAGGCGAAACATTTCGGAATAAAGTTGCCTAACTGTTGCCTATGTGTCTTACCTACCAACCTGTCGGTATTGTATACCATTTTGATGTTCAGCATATGGGCACCTGGTAAACCTAAGAACAGCATTTCAACATCTAGGTAAGGAGTCATTCAAGACACTACACCGTGTACGTCAGGCCCATACTGGAGTATGCAGCACCAGAATGGAATCCACACCTGGTCAAGCACGTCAAGAAACAAGAGAAAGTGCAAAGGTTTGCAACAAGACTAGTTCCAGAGCTATGGGGATTGTCCTGCAAGGAGAGGTTAAGGGAAATTAACTTGACAACACTGGAAGACAAGAGGGACAGGGAAGACACGATCATAAGGACATAAAATACTGAGGAGACAGAGACAGGATGTTCCAGAGATGTGACACAGCAACAAGGGGTCACAACTGGAAGTTGAAAACTCAGATGAGCCACAGGGATGTTAGGAAGTATTTTTTCAGTCATAGAGTCGCCAGGAAGTGGAACAGTCTGGAGAGTGATATAGTGGAGGCAGGATCCATACATAGCTCTAAGAAGAGGTATGATAAAGCTGATGGAGTAATGAGAGCGAGGACTTAGTAGTGACCAGTGGCGAGGCGGGGCCAGGAACTGTGACTCAATTCCTACAACACCAAATAGGTGAGTACCCAGGTACCTATTTACTGCTAGGTGAAGAGTGCCAGCTGTCAGAACTGACCTGTGCCACCAGTTGGTCCAGCTGGTTCTGTGCCACAGCATCGCCAGACAGACGGGGCCACTCTTCAATGACAGACCTGAGGTCCTTCAGCTGGTCCTGGTGACCTGACACCCTGGCCCTCTGCTGCAGCTCCTGGACCTCCTGTAGGCGGGAACCAAGCTTTCTCTGACGAGTACCAACCTCAGCACTGATAGCTTCTGTCTGAGCTCTCAACCTGGATGGTCATGGATGGTTAGTGGCTAGTTCAGTGTATGTACACTGTGAGGTGTATATCTCAGTGTATGTACACTGTGAGGTGTATATCTCAGTGTATGTACACTGTGAGGTGTATATCTCAAGTTGTATGTAACACGGTGAGGTGTATATCTCAGTGTATGTACACTGTGAGGTGTATATCTCAGTGTATGTACACTGTGAGGTGTATATCTCAGTGTATGTACACTGTGAGGTGTATATCTCAGTGTATGTACACTGAGGTGTATATCTCAGTGTATATACACTGTGAGGTGTATATCTCAGTGTATGTACACTGAGGTGTATATCTCAGTGTATGTACACTGTGAGGCGTATATCAATGTATGTACACTGTGTGGTGTATATCTCAATGTACACTGTGGTGTGTATCTCAGTATATATATATTGAGAGGTGTATATCTCAGTTTATACTGTGAGGTGTATATCTCAGTGTATATACACTGTGTGGTGTATATCAGTGTATATACACTGTGGTGTATATCCCAGTGTATATACACTGTGTGGTGTATATCCCAGTGTATATACACTGTGTGGTGTATATCCCAGTGTATATACACTGTGTGGTGTATATCCCAGTGTATATACACTGTGTGGTGTATATCCCAGTGTATATACACTGTGTGGTGTATATCCCAGTGTATATACACTGATGTATATCCCAGTGTATATACACTGTGTGATGTATATCCCAGTGTAAATACACTGTGGTGTATATCTCACTGTATAGTGTATATACCCTCCCTAGGTATATACACCGAGATATGTACCATTTTAGGTTTTAAAGTGTTCCTGACTGATGACACTCGTGTAGTAGACTTTAATTAACCCCATTAACCAACCTTAATGCCCCTCGTGTAGTAGATAGATTTTAAACCCCATTAACCAACAATCTGTCTATTACACATTAATAGCAACAAGCTCTCTGGAAAGAAAATGAGTTGTAGGCTAATTTATAAGTATTGTTTGGTGGGCTTAAGGTCGTAGGCCTATTTAATGATAGCCAAGGCTGTAAGACACATAAAACTGATAGTGACCAGATCTACCTGGACTTGTTCAGCTATCATAACTTTGGTGTACAGTTCCTGGACCCATTATGTACCTCTGTAATGTTGGTGTACAGTCCCTGAACCCATTGTGTACCTCTGTAATGTTGGTGTACAGTTCCTGGACCCATTGTGTACCTCTGTAATGTTGGTGTACAGTTCCTGGACCCATTGTGTACCTCTGTAATGTTGGTGTACAGTCCCTGGACCCATTGTGTACCTCTGTAATGTTGGTGTACAGTTCCTGGACCCATTATGTACCTCTGTAATGTTGGTGTACAGTCCCTGGACCCATTATGTACCTCTGTAATGTTGGTGTACAGTCCCTGGACCCATTATGTACCTCTGTAATGTTGGTGTACAGTCCCTGGACCCATTATGTACCTCTGTAATGTTGGTGTACAGTTCCTGGACCCATTATGTACCTCTGTAATGTTGGTGTACAGTTCCTGGACCAATTATGTACATTGTAATCTTTTGACTACCACTCACAGGATGGGTATGGTGTGCATAATAAACATATTAAATTAATTAAACTAAGAGGAACTGATAGGCCTACCTTGTAAGGAGTGCCAGTAGGCTGTGGCACTGCGACTCGTACACACAGGCCAGGCTTAGCAAATGACTTTCATCACCCAGGAACTTATCTGTTGAGAGATTGACTATTTTAGTAGTACTAGTAGAAGTAATAGTAGTAGTAGTACTAGTAGAAGTAATAGTAGTAGTAGTAATAGTAGTAGTAGTATCAATAGTAGCAATAATAGTAGTAGCAGCAGGAGTAATAGTAGTAGTATCATAGTAGCAGTAATAGCATCAGCAGCAGCAGTAGTAGTAGTAGTAGTATCAATTGTAGTAGTGGTAGCAGCAACAGTAGTAGTAGTGGTAGTATTATCAATAGTAGCAGTAATAGTAGTAGCAGTAGCAGCAGCAGCAGCAGTAGTAATAGTAGTAGTAGTAGTAGTAGTAGTAGTATCAATAGTAGCAGTAATAGTAGTAGCAGTAGCAGCAGCAGCAGCAGTAGTAGTAGTAGTAGTAGTAGTATAGTAGTAGTAGTAGTAGTAGTATCAATAGTAGCAGTAATAGTAGTAGCAGTAGCAGCAGCAGTAGTAGTAGTAATAGTATCAATAGTGAAGCGATGTGGTACACTGGTGGTGAATCAACACTAGCAGACTTACCTCCAAGTCTGGTCGAAGATGGTTCTCAGTGTGTCTCTTGCTGCCATTTACCTTACTGTACATATCCTCTGTATATATTGTACACACATTGCTTACTGTTTAGTGGAGGTAATGTAAGTATTTATTCTGCTGGCTTTTGCTCGCTCCTACCTGGGTTATCCTGCTACAGCCAGGTGTGCAGGCCACTAGACTACAAACGTGTTCATAATATCAATCACATTCTAAGTCGAGTCAAGTCTAACCGAGCACATAGCACACACACTTACGTACCCATATTACTCTTGTACTTACAAGTACACCACATCATAACAATGAACCAGATGGTACACAATAAGAGTATAGTTTATAGTATCTTATCCAAATTGCCCATATCAACGTGTGTATTATATGTACAGAATAAATATAAACTCAATACAAAAGCACAATAATAAATGCTCCAAGAATTGTATAGGAGTTTATCTCCTAAATTATTCAAATTAGAGTAAATATCACCTCCAAATTAAAAGTTTATTCTCTATAAAGATTACAATGTTGAATTTACAGAATTTGGTTGTTGTGTGGTTTACATGTAGTTAAATAATGATTACAGTGTACCACTAGAACACCTAGCATGGCTAGGTATTACAGAGTGTACCACTAGAACACCTAGCATGGCTAGGTTTTTACAGAGTGTACCACTAGAACACCTAGCATGGCTAGGTATTACAGAGTGTACCACTAGAACACCTAGCATGGCTAGGCATTACAGAGTGTACCACTAGAACACCTAGCATGGCTAGGCATTACAGAGTGTACCACTAGAACACCTAGCATGGCTAGGTATTACAGAGTGTACCACTAGAACACCCAGCATGGCTAGCATTACAGAGTGTACCACTAGAACACCCAGCATGGCTAGGCATTACAGAGTGTACCACTAGAACACCTAGCATGGCTAGGTATTACAGAGTGTACCACTAGAACACCTAGCATGGCTAGGCATTACAGAGTGTGTGATGAATGGTTTGAAAAACCGACAAGTTGAAGATTGAGACACTTATGCAGCATATGGGAATCTTTATTCAGGAAACGTTTCGCCACACAGTGGCTTCATCAGTCCAATACAAAGAGGAAGGCGTAAGGAGAGGAGGAGAATGAGGTAATCAGTCCCTCAACCTGGAGTCGATGTGTTTACCTGGAGTTTACCTGGAGAGAGTTTCGGGGGTCAACGCCCCCGCGGCCCGGTCTGTGACCAGGCCTCCTGGTGGATCAGCGCCTGATCAACCAGGCTGTTGCTGCTGGCTGCACGCAAACCCAAGTACGAGCCACAGCCCGGTGATCAGGAACTGACTTAGGTGCTTGTCCAGTGCCAGCTTGAAGACTGCCAGGGGTCTGTTGGTAATCCCCCTTATGTGTGCTGGGAGGCATTGAACAGTCTCGGTCCCCTGACACTTATTGTATGGTCTCTTAACGTGCTAGTGACCCCCCTGCTTTTCATTGGGGGATGGGCATCGTCTGCCAAGTCTTTTGCTTTCGTAGTGAGTGATTTTCGTGTGCAAGTTCGGTACTAGTCCCTCTAGGATTTTCCAGGTGTATATAATCATGTATTCTCTCCCTCCCGCGTTCCGGGAATACAGGTTTTAGAAACCTCAAGCGCTCCCAGTAATTGAGGTGTTTTATCTCCGTTATGCGCGCCGTGAAAGTTTTTCTGTACATTTTCTAGGTCGGCAATTTCACCTGCTTGAAAGGTGCTGTTAGAGTGCAGCAATATTCCAAGCCTAGATAGAACAAGTGACCTGAAGGTGTCATCATGGCTTGGCCTCCCTAGTTTTGAAGGTTCTCATTATCCATCCTGTCATTTTTCTAGCAGATCGATTGATACAATGTTATGGTCCTTGAAGGTGAGATCCTCCGACATAATCACTCCCAGGTCTTTGACGTTGGTGTTTCGCTCTATTTTGTGGCCAGAATTTGTTTTGTACTCTGATGAAGATTTAATTTCCTCATGTTTACCATATCTGGTAATTGAAATTTCTCATCGTTGAACTTCATATTGTTTTCTGCAGCCCACTGAAAGATTTGGTTGATGTCCGCCTGGAGCCTTGCAGTGTCTGCAAGGGAAAAGACACTGCCCATGCAGATTTCGGGTGTCATCTGCAAAGGAAGACACGTGCTGTGGCTGACATCCTTGTCTATGTCGGATATGAGGATGAGGAACAAGATGGGAGCAAAGTACTGTGCCTTGTGGAACAGAGCTTTTCACCGTAGCTGCCTGGGACTTACTCTGTTGACGACTACTCTCTGTGTTCTGTTAGTGAGGAAATTATAGATCCATCACCAACTTTTCCTGTTATTCCTTTAGCGCGCATTTGTCGCTATTACGCCATGGTCACACTTGTCGAAGGCTTTTGCAAAGTCTGTTATATTACATCTGCATTCTTTTTGTCTTCTAGTGCATTTAGGACCTTGTCGTAGTGATCCAGTAGTTGAGACAGACAGGAGCGACCTGTTCTAAACCCATGTTGCCCTGGGTTGTGTAACGATGGGTTTCAGATGGGTGGTGATCTTGCTTCTTAGGCCCCTTTTCCAAAGATTTTTATGATATGGGATGTTAGTGCTTATTTGGTCTGTGTTTTTTTGCTGTTGCTTTAAATGCCCCCTTTGTGGAGTGGGGGTATGTCTGTTGTTTTTAGTAACGAGGGACGACCCCCGTGTCCATGCTCCCTCTCCATAGGATGGAAAAGGCTCGTGATAGGGGCTTCTTGCAGTTCTTGATGAAACACAGAGTTCCATGAGTCGGCCCTGGGGCAGAGTGCAGGGGCATGTCATTTATCGCCTGTTCGAAGTCATTTGGCGTCAGGATAACATCGGTGGGCTTGTGTTAATCAAATTTTGTGGCTCTCTCAAAAAAAAATTCATTTTGATCTTCGACTCTCAGTCTGGTTAGCGGCTTGCTAAAAACTGAGTCATATTGGGCCCTTGAGTAGCTCACTCATTTCCTTGCTGTCATCTGTGTAGGACCCATCTTGTTTAAGTAGGGGCCCAATACTGGACGTTTGTTCTCGATTTTGATTTGGCATAGGGAAGAAATACTTTGGGTTTCTTTCGATTTCATTTATGGCTTTTAGTTCTTCCGCGATTCCTGACTCCTAAAGGATTCTTTTAGCTTAAGTTCGATGCTTGCTATTTCTCTGACCAGTGTCTCCCTGCACATTTCTGATATATTGACCTCTTTTAGCCGCTCTGTTATTCTTTTCCGTCGCCTGTAAAGGAGCGCCTGTCTCTTTCTATTTTACATCTACTCCTCCTTTTTCTTAGAGGAATAAGCCTTGTGCATACATCGAGTGCCACCGAGTTAATCTGTTCTAGGCATAAGTTTGGGTCTGTGTTGCTTAGTATATCTTCCCAGCTTATATCGGTTAGGACTTGGTTTACTTGGTCCCACTTTATGTTTTTGTTATTGAAGTTGAATTTGGTGAATCAATCCATCAATCTTGTAGAATGTACAAATGTACAGCATAGGCCCGTAGACGTGGCTTATATACTGTAGTGAGGTGACGTGAAGCAGGTGGAGGCGGGGTCATAGTGGTACCATCCACTAGTCGAAGTAGGTCTTCGTCCAAAGGTTGAACAAGTGTTGAAGAATTCTTTGTAACAAGATCCCATGATGCTGCAGTGTCTGACAGTTGTGACATGTAGTTAAATAATGATTACAGAGTGTACCACTAGAACACCTAGCATGGCTAGGTATTACAGAGTGTACCACTAGAACACCTAGCATGGCTAGGCATTACAGAGTGTACCACTAGAACACCTAGCATGGCTAGGCATTACAGAGTGTACCACTAGAACAACCTAGCATGGCTAGGCATTACAGAGTGTACCACTAGAACGCCTAGCATGGCTAGGCATTTACAGAGTGTACCACTAGAAAAGCCTAGCATGTCTAGGCATTACAGAGTGTACCACTAGAAGCCCTAGCATGTCTAGGCATTACAGAGTGTACCACTAGAACACCTAGATGGCTAGGCATTACAGAGTGTACCACTAGAACACCTAGCATGGCTAGGCATTACAGAGTGTACCACTAGAACACCTAGCATGGCTAGCATACAGGTGTACCACTAGAACACCTAGCATGGCTAGGCATTACAGAGTGTACCACTAGAACACCTAGCATGGCTAGGCATTACAGAGTGTACCACTAGAACGCCTAGCATGGCTAGGCATTACAGAGTGTACCACTAGAACACCTAGCATGGCTAGGCATTACAGAGTGTACCACTAGAACACCTAGCATGGCTAGGCATTTCGGGCAGACTTAGTTTAATTCTTTATTTTAAAATATTACAAATTATGAGGTAAGTTGGTATTATGGCTAAGTGACTAAATACTATTAAGAATCTCAAGTTGCAATTTAATCGTGCTGTTGAGAAGCCACATAATTTACCGGATAACTGGAGCACAATTATTACTGGCATACTGTTACAAAACTAGAAATATTGTGGACACTAGAGTGGGGATTAGTGAGTAGTAGTAGTTAGCTGATGCTGATCATTCAACACCAGAACTGGTTGTGGAGGCTTGAACCACCGTCTGTGTGTGGTTTAGCGTCATAAGAATGGGAGGTGAGGAAATGTAGGGAAAGGGGGGATGGATGTAGGCACATTTCCTAGCATCAGTAAACCTTGTAGCAGCATCAACGGCATCTCAAGTGAATCATTAAACATCAATAGACTTACCAAAGGCACCGACATCACAGCTGTCAGGACCGTCCTGTAAGATGATGCTACTATCTTGTGAGATGCTCTGAGGGACTCTGGAATCTTGTAGAATAGGCCTAGGAGCTGTTGCATCATCGGGAATGGGCCCAGGAACTGTTGCATCCTCATGAATGGGCCCTGGAACTGTTGCATCCTCAGAAATAGGCTTAGGGCCTCTGTCATCCCCAGGATGTGTCACAAAGCACCTAGGATCAGTCTTGGAGGTAGGCCGACTCTGCTTCGCTCCTGAGTTCAGCATTCTGAGTGCCAACAGGTCTGTACTCAGACCACCTCCCTCACCTGTGTGGCAAGGAACTGTCTTAATAATAATAATAATACTAGAAGCTGTGTACACTGCAACAAGGGTTCCAAGTGAGGTACCGATGGGGTAATATGATATAGTATCCGCTAGGAGTGGTATCTTGGCTCATGTGCAAATATTCACCGATATACCAACAATAACATTAAAACACAGAAATGTTTTGCGTCTGCTGAAAAGACAGAAAACAGTAGGAACAAATTTCATGTATATTAAAAAACAGAAACAATAACGTAAAAATATCCTTTTTGGAAAATCTGAGTTTAAATGACAGTTGTGAAATTGGAGGTACCTGGAGTATACCTGGACAGAGTTTTGAAGGCCAATGTCCTCGTGGCCCAGTCTATGACCAGGCCTCACAGTGGATCAGGACCTGATCACCCAGGCTGTTACTGTTAGCAGCATGTAAACTGAAGTATGAACCACAGCCTGGCTGGTCAGGTACTGAATTTAGGTGCCTATCCAGCTCCCTCTTTAAAACAGCCAAGGGTCTTGAAGACAGCCAGGGATCTTGAAGACAGCCAGGAATCTTGAAGACAGCCAGGAGTCTTGAAAACAGCCAGGGGTCTTGAAGACAGCCAGGAATCTTGAAAACAGCCAGGGGTCTTGAAGACAGCCAGGAATCTTGAAAACAGCCAGGGGTCTTGAAGACAGCCAGGAATCTTGAAAACAGCCAGGGGTCTTGAAGACAGCCAGGAATCTTGAAAACAGCCAGGAATCTTGAAGACAGCCAGGGGTCTTGAAGACAGTGAGGAGTCTTGGAAACAGCCAGGGGTCTTGAAGATACCCAAGGGTTTCAAAGACATCCAAGGGTCCTGAAAAGAGCTAGAGTCTGCAGGGGCACTGTCCCCTAGAAGGACACTGACCGTGCCTCCACTCCGGTAGTGACCCGAGGTGGCGTAAGATTTCCGTCATTTCCTATCAGCTTTTTCTCAGTGGCACTAAAATATTTCGTTCCCTGGAGTGGTTGTCACTACTCCAGGTAAGTTGGGAATTTAACAAGGTAAGGCTAGATTCTAACCTTTTTTGGTTGTGGTCTGTCGTACCTAGTCTTAAAGCTGTGAAGTGTCTTACCTCCAGAGGTGCCATTGACAGAGGTGTTGGCAGCGAGAGCCAGATCCAAGGCACTGGAGCTAGAAGCAAGGCAGCTACCATCTTCACCACCAGTGACCATCTGGGAGATACAAGAAACTGGTGTCAGCCACAAGACACTGGTGCCAGACACAAGACACTGGTGTCAGACACAAGACACTGGTGTCAGACACAAGACACTGGTGTCAGACACAAGACACTGGTGCCAGACACAAGACACTGGTGTCAGACACAAGACACTGGTGTCAGACATAAGACACTGGTGTCAGACACAAGACACTGGTGCCAAACACAAGACACTGGTGTCAGGCACAAGACACTGGTGCCAGACACAAGACACTGGTGTCAGACACAAGACACTGGTGTTAGACACTGGTGTCAGACACAAGACACTGGTGCCAGACACAAGACACTGGTGCCAGACACAAGACACTGGTGTCAGACACAAGACACTGGTGTCAGACACAAGACACTGGTGTCAGACACAAGACACTGGTGTTAGACACTGGTGTCAGACACAAGACACTGGTGCCAGACACAAGACACTGGTGCCAGACACAAGACACTGGTGCCAGACAACAAGAACACTGGTGACAGACACAAGACACTGGTGCCAGACACAAGACACTGGTGTCAGACACAAGACACTGGTGCCAGACACAAGACACTGACGCCAGACACAAGACACTGGTGCCAGACACAAGACACTGGTGCCAGACACAAGACACTGGTGCCAGACACAAGACACTGGTGTCAAACACAAGACACTGGTGTCAGACACAAGACACTGGTGCCAGACACAAGACACTGGTGTCAGACACAAGACACTGGTGTCAGACACAAGACACTGGTGTTAGACACTGGTGTCAGACACAAGACACTGGTGTCAGACACAAGACACTGGTGCCAGACACAAGACACTGGTGCCAGACACAAGACACTGGTGTCAGACACAAGACACTGGTGTTAGACACTGGTGTTAGACACAAGACACTGATGTTAGACATTGGTGTTAGACGCACCTTGGCTTCAGTTTGAAGTTCTTGGAGTCGTCTTGTAAGGTCCTGCAGTGACTGTAGGGGTGTCACTGCTGTCAAGAACTGTTGAAAGGCTGTCAGTTCTTGAAGACGTTCTTGTTCTTCCTGCTGAACTGTCTGCGACTCAGTCAGTAGACCAGAGTAGTAGTCTATACGGATCTCTTGCTGTTTCAGGTTACGTTCTGCTGAGTCGCCTCTGTAATGTTAGACGGTGTTAGATGGTGTTAGACGGTGTTAGACGGTGTTAGACAGGCACAGTGTTAGTGGTTTTTATGACTTACATAAGCTGGTGACTTATTTTACTGCTGAGGGACTGACTACCTTCTGTCAAGACTGAGGGACTGACTACCTTCTGTCAAGACTGAGGGACTGACTACCTTCTGTCAAGACTGAGGGACTACTACCTTCTGTCAAGACTGAGGGACTGACTACCTTCTGTCAAGACTGAGGGACTGACTACCTTCTGTCAAGACTGAGGGACTGACTACCTTCTGTCAAGACTGAGGGACTGACTACCTTCTGTCAAGACTGAGGGACTGACTACCTTCTGTCAAGACTGAGGGACTGACTACCTTCTGTCAAGACTGAGGGATCTGACTACCTTCTGTCAAGACTGTGGACTGGCTACCTTCTGTCAAGACTGAGTGACTGACTACACTTCTGTCAAGACTGAGGGACTGACTACCTTCTGTCAGACTGAGGGACTGACTACCTTCTGTCAGACTGAGGGACTGACTACCTCTTCAAGACTGAGGACTGACTACCTTCTGTCAAGACTGAGGGACTGACTACCTTCTGTCAAGACTGAGGGACTGACTACCTTCTGTCAAGCTGAGGACTGACTACCTTCTGTCAAGACTGAGGGACTGACTACCTTCTGTCAAGACTGAGGGACTGACTACCTTCTGTCAAGACTGTGGGACTGGCTACCTTCTGTCAAGACTGAGTGACTGACTACCTTCTGTCAAGACTGAGGGACTGACTACCTTCTGTCAAGACTGAGGGACTGACTACCTTCTGTCAAGACTGAGGGACTGACTACCCTTCTGTCAAGAACTGAGGGCACTGACTACCTTCTGTCAAGACTGAGGGACTGACTACCTTCTGTCAAGACTGAGGGACTGACTACCTTCTGTCAAGACTGAGGGACTGACTACCTTCTGTCAAGACTGAGGACCCTGACTACCTTCTGTCAAAGACTGGGACTGACTACCTTCTGTCAAGACTGAGGGACTGTCTACCTTCTGTCAAGACTGAGGGACTGACTACCTTCTGTCAAGACTGAGGGACTGACTACCTTCTGTCAAGACTAAGGGACTGCTACCTTCTGTCAAGACTAAGGACTGACTACCTTCTGTCAAGACTGAGGACTGACTTACCTCTGTCAAGACTAAGGGACTGACTACCTTCTGTCAAGACTGAGGGACTGACTACCTTCTGTCAAGACTGAGGGACTGACTACCTTCTATCAAGACTGAGGGACTGACTACCTTCTCTCAAGACTGAGGGACTGACTACCTCTCTCTCAAGACTGATAGGATGACTACCTCTGTCAAGACTGAGGGACTGACTACCTTCTGTCAAGACTGAGGGACTGACTACCTTCTGTCAAGACTGAGGGACTGACTACCTTCTAATCAAGACTGAGGGACTGACTACCTTCTGTCAAGACTGAGGGACTGACTACCTTCTGTCAAGACTGAGGGACTGACTACCTTCTGTCAAGACTGAGGGACTGACTACCTTCTGTCAAGACTGAGGGACTGACTACCTTCTGTCAAGACTGAGGGCCTGACTACCTTCTGTCAAGACTGAGGGCCTGACTACCTTCTGTCAAGACTGAGGGACTGACTACCTTCTGTCAAGACTGAGGGCCTGACTACCTTCTGTCAAGACTGAGGGACTGACTACCTTCTGTCAAGACTGAGTGACTGACTACCTTCTGTCAAGACTGTGGGCCTGACTACCTTCTGTCAAGACTGAGGGACTGACTACCTTCTGTCAAGACTGAGGGACTGACTACCTTCTGTCAAGACTGAGGGACTGACTACCTTCTGTCAAGACTGAGGGACTGACTACCTTCTGTCAAGACTGAGGGACTGACTACCTTCTGTCAAGACTGAGGGACTGACTACCTTCTGTCAAGACTGAGGGACTGACTACCTTCTGTCAAGACTGAGGGACTGACTACCTTCTATCAAGACTGAGGGACTGACTACCTTCTGTCAAGACTGAGGGACTGACTACCTTCTGTCAAGACTGAGGGACTGACTACCTTCTATCAAGACTGAGGGACTGACTACCTTCTGTCAAGACTGAGGGACTGACTACCTTCTGTCAAGACTGAGGGACTGACTACCTTCTATCAAGACTGAGGGACTGACTACCTTCTGTCAAGACTGAGGGCCTGACTACCTTCTGTCAAGACTGAGGGACTGACTACCTTCTGTCAAGACTGAGGGACTGACTACCTTCTGTCAAGACTGAGGGACTGACTACCTTCTGTCAAGACTGAGGGACTGACTACCTTCTATCAAGACTGAGGGACTGACTACCTTCTATCTAGAATGAGGGATTGACTACCTTCTATCTAGACTGAGGGATTGACTACCTTCTATCAAGACTGAGGACTGACTACCTTCTATCAAGACTGAGGGACTGACTACCTTCTATCTAGAATGAGGGATTGACTACCTTCTATCTAGACTGAGGGATTGACTACCTTCTATCAAGACTGAGGGACTGACTACCTTCTATCAAGACTGAGGGACTGACTACCTTCTATCTAGAATGAGGGATTGACTACCTTCTATCAAGACTGAGGGATTGACTACCTTCTATCAAGACTGAGGGACTGACTACCTTCTATCAGGACTGAGGGACTGACTACCTTCTATCAAGACTGAGGGACTGACTACCTTCTATCAAGACTGAGGGACTGACTACCTTCGAAAATCACTCACAACGAAAGCAAAAGACTTGGCAGACGATGCAACATCCCCCCAATGAAAAGCAGGGGTGTCACTAGCACGTTAAGAGACAATACAATAAGTGTCAGGGGCCCAAGACTGTTCAACTGCCTCCCAGCATACATAAGGGGGATTACCAATAGACCCCTGGCTGTCTTCAAGCTGAACATCAAAATGGTATACAATACCGACAGGTTGTTAGGTAAGACACATATGCAACAGTTAGACAACTTTATTCCGAAACGTTTCGCCTACACAGTAGGCTTCTTCAGTCGAATACAGAAAGTAGGCAGGAACAGTAGAGATGTGAAGACGATGTAATCAGTCCATCACCCGCACTGTCGCTTGATCTTCAGATAGTTCCTGACTATGGAACTGAACTTCTCCAGGCCGAGGGACTGACAACCTCAAATTCTACGACTTCAAGGGTGATGGACTGATTACATCGTCTTCACATCTCTACTGTTCCTGCCTACTTTCTGTATTCGACTGAAGAAGCCTACTGTGTAGGCGAAACGTTTCGGAATAAAGTTGTCTAATTGTTGCATATGTGTCTTGTCTTCAAGCTGGCACTGGACAAACACCTAAAGTCGGTACCTGACCAGCCGGGCTGTGGCTCGTACGTTGGATTGCGTGCAGCCAGCAGTAACAGCCTGGTTGATCAGGCTCTGATCCACCAGGCGGCCTGGTCACAGACCGGGCCGCGGGGGCTTTGACCCCCGGAACTCTCTCCAGGTAAACTCCAGGTAAACCTTATATCAAGACTGAGGGACTGACTACCTTCTATCAAGACTGAGGGACTGACTACCTTCTATCAAGACTGAAGGACTGACTACCTTCTGTCAAGACTGAGGGACTGACTACCTTCTATCAAGACTGAGGGACTGACTACCTTCTATCAAGACTGAAGGACTGACTACCTTCTGTCAAGACTGAGGGACTGACTACCTTCTATCATGATTGAGGAACTGAACCTTCTGTTAAGGCTGAGGGACCGACTGCCATCTACTACGGGTGAAGGACTGACCACCTTACATTAAAGCTGAGGGACTGACCTCTTCAAAACTACCTCTTTGATAGTAATGGACTGATTACGTCTCTAAGGCTTCAGTACACAAATAACCCGCACATAAAAGAGAGAAGCTTACGACGACGTTTCGGTCCGACTTGGACCATTGACAAAATCACACTAACAGAGGTGGAGCAGGACGGCTGGGTTGTCTTTCTCTCTCCTGTCTCGTGTTTCTGTTCCTTCTTTATTTTATTTCACCACTTCCCCTTTCACGCACCTCGGTGCGCTTGCTCTCCCTCTGTGGGTTTCTAGCTCTCTTGCAGTGCTCCCCTTCCTTTGTATTTGACTGGCTCGTCTTCCTTATTTCCCACTTCTACCACTACCACTACTACTACCTCTTCTTCTTCTACTACAACTACTGATGAAATTAGACACATGTGCGGCGTCTGGTTGTCTTTGTTGTGGACGTTTCGCCATCCAGTGGCTGGCTGGATGGCGAAACGTCTATGGTGGGGATGCCCGGGTGTTGTGCATGTGTCATTTCATCCTGTCGGTATTATATACATTTCTTGTACTACTACTACTACTACTACTACCTCCACCTCTTCCTGCCTATATATAGCCGTCCTGCTCCACCTCTGTTAGTGTGACTTTGTCAATGGTCCAAGTCGGACCGAAACGTGGCTGGCTGGATGGCGAAACGTCTATGGTGGGGATGCCCGGGTGTTGTGCATGTGTCATTTCATCCTGTCGGTATTATATACATTTCTTGTACTACTACTACTACTACTACTACCTCCACCTCTTCCTGCCTATATATAGCCGTCCTGCTCCACCTCTGTTAGTGTGACTTTGTCAATGGTCCAAGTCGGACCGAAACGTCGTCGTAAGCTTCTCTCTTTTATGTGCGGGTTATTTGTGTATCGTTCCAGTCACGGTATTGTGCCTTTTTGTTATTTATCTAAGGCTTCAGCTGCCCTCTCTGTATTCGACTGAAGAAGTCTACTACGAAGGCGAAACGTTCCAGGACTAAAGATACGTAAATGATGCACATGTCTTATCTAGGGTAGTTAAGACTACCTTCCAGGCTGAGATATTGTTCCCCTAATCTACCCTGTCTTCAGTGTTTAGTGTTTTGTTCTGTGTGGAGCTTTAGGGAGTCTTTATAAAGCTCTACAGTGAGCGGAAAGTCGACCCCAGTGAAAACTTTGTCCTGAAATCTCTTTTCCTTGAAGTGAACTTGAAGCTAACTTGGTGATAGCGTCAGTAACTTGACTGTAGTGGTGCTGGAGGAACTTCTGTAAGACTGTCTGGTGGGTGTGTAGCTGGTACTCCAGGGCATTGTTGACCTCTACCTCCTTCTCCAGTTCTTTCTTCAGTCTTTGTGACTCCACCTCCGCCACTCTGGCCAGGTTCTGTGTGGAGTAGCGGCGTTCTTTGAGTAGGTAAACAAAGGTGTAAGTCACGCCCCACTGTAATTCACCATTGTAAGTCATGTCCCACTGTAATTCACCATTGTAAGTCATGTCCCACTGTAATTCACCATTGTAAGTCACGTCCCACTGTAATTCACGATGGTAAGAGAGAGAGAGAGGCTTACTTTATCTCTTGCTGTGGTACGGACGGCTGAGAGATAGTCACTGGCACTCTGAGGTTGTGTGGGGGTGGCGCTGGTCCTTCTTCGAGGTGGACCCAGCTCAACCTCCAGCCTCTCCTGAGGTTGACTGACCTCTCCATGCCTCACACGACTGGCTAGTAAAGGCCCACCTCCACTCTCAACCAAGTCCTGTAGATTATATTCATACCCTCAACACACACAAGCTGCCAGTGATCATCAGTTCACCCAACACAAAAGTCAAACACTTTTACCAGTACTTTCTAAAACAAAATACTTGTATAGTAGACTTATACACTAGCTAGCCTACTTAGATCTGTCAAGTGTACCAGGAGTAAAGCTTGATGTATGGGATACTGTAACTATAAATAATATCACTTGGGTTGGATACAATCTCTGTGGAAAATGGTCCCATGGGACGTGTGTAAATTTTCAGCAATCCACCACTAATGATACTAAATCAGGAAAATATTTTTGGGTCTGCCCAAGTGCTGGACACCTGTGGGAGAAAATTACAGCTATACTAAAAGACAGAAACACCAACAAAAAAATATCCTTCTTAGAAAACTTGACAGTCTTGTATAACAGGAAAACAAAAGGAGTGGGTCAGATGGGGATGTCACCCCTGGTGTTGATGCTGTCTTGGAGGACAGTGCCTGTGAGAATACAGAAATGAAAGATGGAAATAGTGGTCCTGGTGTTGACCAAACAGGTAAAGACAAAGATATATGAATTCCAGAAATACAAAACAGCAATATTGCTGGAGATGAAAAAATGGGGATAATGCTTTGGGGAAGTGTTGATACATTAGCAGTAAAAAAGTAGTGGAGGCACTGATGTTAGTACAGGTGCTGTAGATAATGGGGAGTCAAAGAAAAATGCATCAGTAGAGAATGCAGTCACAAAAATCCTGGAAGAAACAAACAAATCTGTGGAAATTCTATGCCTTGGGTATCTGTAGGTATGGAATGTCTGGAAAAACAGGTGGGACGTGCAGTTCTGACCATCCTAAAAAAATGCCACACCCACATGACAAGAGGATGAAACTCTTCTTGTAACTTATTTCACCCTGAAATGTGTCAGTCTTCAATACATGAAAGACAATACTCCAAAACACACTGTCAGACACACCATCTAAAGGGGACAAGAAGATACAGGTCACCCAGACCATGGAAAAACAAAGCAAGGGTAGCCACAACCAATCCAGAGACAGATGTTTTTTAGTGACAGGAAAACAAAAGCTGGTGGCCTGGTGGCTAAAGCTCCCGCTTCACACACGGAGGGCCCGGGTTCGATTCCCGGCGGGTGGAAACATTCGACACGTTTCCTTACACCTGTTGTCCTGTTCACCTAGCAGCAAATAGGTACCTGGGTGTTAGTCGACTGGTGTGGGTCGCATCCTGGGGGACAAGATTAAGGACCACAATGGAAATAAGTTAGACAGTCCTCGATGACGCACTGACTTTCTTGGGTTATCCTGGGTGGCTAACCCTCCGGGGTTAAAAATCCGAACGAAATCTTATCTTATCTTATCTTAAATCTTACACTAACTCGGATCAGTACCGGAGTGGTGGCACAGTCAGTATCCCCCACTCCACAACAACACATATTAGAGCCAACAAGCCCTCTACATACCATAAACACGACAACATAAAGGATCACTTTGGCAATGAAATATAGATCCCAGGTTAGAACCTGTTTAGATGCGACAGTGAACAGGCAACAAGGGAGGGTTGGCCTGTATGTCACAGAGCCGCTCATTTGCTCGGAACAACTGAACACCTCAGATGATGCAGTTAATTTTTTGGCAGTGAAGATCGAGAACCAAAACCTGGTCATTGTGGTTGTATACAAGACTCCAGATAACAACTTCCCAGCAATACCAGGAACAGCTTTTAAAAATAATGACCTCATAAAGGTCACACTCACCTTATAAAGGTCACACTCACCTTACAAAGGTCACATTCACCTTACAAAGGCCACACTCACCTTACAAAGGTCACACTCACCTTACAAAGGTCATACTCACCTTACAAAGGTCACACTCACCTTACAAAGCTCACACTCACCTTACAAATGCCACACTCACCTTACAAAGGCCACACTCACCTTACTAAGGCCACACTCACCTTACAAAGGTCACACTCACCTTACAAAGGTCACACTCACCTTACAAATCCCACACTCACCTTACAAATGCCACACTCACCTTACAAAGGTCACACTCAACTTACAAAGGTCACACTCACCTTACAAAGGTCACGGTGGCCCGGTGGTCTGGTGGCTAAAGCTCCCGCTTCACACACGGAGGGCCCGGGTTCGATTCCCGGCGGGTGGAAACATTTGACACGTTTCCTTACACCTGTTGTCCTGTTCACCTAGCAGCAAATAGGTACTGGGTGTTAGTCGACTGGTGTGGGTCGCATCCTGGGGGACAAGATTAAGGACCCCAATGGAAATAAGTTAGACAGTCCTCGATGACGCACTGACTTTCTTGGGTTATCCTGGGTGGCTAACCCTCCGGGGTTAAAAATCCGAACGAAATCTTATCTTATCTTATCTCACTCACCTTACAAAGGTAACACTCACCTTACAAAGGTCACACTCACCTTACAAAGGTCTCTCTCAGTCTTCTCAGTGTACTGGAAGAGATCTTTCTCAGCAGGTGGGACGTAAGGCGTCTTCAGCCTGACCTTGCTAGGCACCGGGAATTAGAAAAGGGCCTTTCTTGGCCAGCTCCGGGCCCCCTCTTGGGCACCCGTGGCAAAACCACCCTTCACCCCCATCCTTCTAAAGGGGTTAAAAAGTCACGTGTGAAACTTTAAAGCCAAAAAATATAGGAAGATCGAGCCTTCACCCGGCATGCCCTAGAATTACCTGGGATTCTGATTTTGGGGTTTATCCCAAAATATCAAATGCTCCTTCCCTAGGGTGGTTTTTTGTGCGTTGAGACGTGCGCAAAAACCTGTATGGGGGGTCGTTCAGTGATTTTGGTTTTTCAGGTCTGTCTACTACACCGGGCCATTATGATTATTTGTTACACTGTGTTTATACACTGAGATATAAACCTAACAGTTTATATACACTAAAGATATCACCTGCCCAGAAATAAATACACTGGTTTTTACCCCTCACAGTGTATTTAAAACTGGATATACACCTCCCCTTTTGTATATACACTGAGATTTTTACACCCAAAGTGTATTAAACTGAGATAACCCCTCCAGTGTTTATAACACTGGGTATACCCCTCCCCAGTGATATACATGAGTTTATACACCACACAGTGTTTTAAACCCTGAGATATACACCTAGCAGTGTTTTTTACACTGAGTTATACCCCACACAGGTGTATACACTGAGATATACCCCAACCAGTGTATATACACTGAGATATACCCCAAAACAGTGTGTTTTTAAAATTTTGAGTATACACCACACGTGTAAAACCACTGAGATTTTCCCCTCGCCAGTGTATATCACTGAGATATACACCTCACAGGTTTTTTCCCACTGGATATAAAACCACACAGTGTTTTATACATGAGTATAAAACTATACAGGGGAGGCGGTAAACCCACAAGACGCAGGGTTACCAGTGTGTGTTTGTATTGGTTGTCATAGTTACCGACCGAGAGGCGCTAAACCCTACGGGCGAGAGGTTTTTTAAAACCCCCCGAGGGGAAAGGATTGCTTTTTTACTCGGGCCCAATGTGTGTTTTTTACCCTGACAAGGGGGGGCTTTTTACCCTGAAAAATTTTTGTGTTTTATTACCCTGACAATGTGGCTTTATTCCCCCCGGGACAATGTGTGCTTTTTTTTTTTTTTAAAACCCTGACAATGTGTGCTTTATTTACCCTGCCCAGTGTGTGCTTTGTTACCCTGACAGTGTGTGCTTTATTACCGGGAAAAATTTTTGGTGCTTTTTTTACACAAACAATGTGTGCTTTATTACCCTGACAATGTGTGCTTTATTACCCTGACAATGTGTGCTTTATTACCCTGACAGTGTGTGCTTTATTACCCTGACAATGTGTGCTTTATTACCCTGACAATGTGTGCTTTATTACCCTGACAGTGTGTGCTTTATTACCCTGACAGTGTGTGCTTTATTACCCTGACAATGGGGTGCTTTTTTAAACCCTGAGTGTGGGGCTTTATTACCCTGACAATTTTTGTGTTTTTTACCCTGCCAATGGGGCTTTATTCCCTGAAGTGTGTGTTTATTACCCGGGAACATTTGGGGGTTTTGCTTTTTTACCCTGACCTGTGTGCTTTTTTACCCGGGACCATGTTTTGCTTTATTACCTGACAATTTTGTGCTTTTTTCCCCTAAACAGTGTGTGCTTTATTACCCGGGACAATGTGGGTTTTATTCCCCTGACAGTGCGTCCCTTTATTCCCCTTTGACAAGTGTGCTTTATTACACTGACAATGTTTTGGTTTTTTTAAACCCTGCAATGTGTGCTTTATTCAGGGACAGTGTGTGTTTTTATTACCCGGGGAACCAGTGTGTGCTTTTTTACCCTGCCCAATGTGTGCTTTATTCCCCTGACAATGTGTCCCTTTATTACCCTGACAATGTGTGTTTTTTTCCCTGACAGTTTTTGGGGGGTTTTTATTACCCTGACAGTGTGTGCTTTATTACCCTGACAATGTGTGCTTTATTACACTGACAATGTGTGCTTTATTACCCTGACAATGTGTGCTTTATTAACCCTGACAGGGGTGTGCTTTATTCCCCGACGTGTTGCTTTTTTTCCCCGGGACAATGTGGCTTTATTACCCTGAAAATGTGTGTTTATTTACACGCAATGTGTGCTTTATTACCCTGAAAAAGGGTTGGGGCTTTTTACCCGGGAAGTGTGTGCTTTATTACCCTGACAATGTGTGCTTTTTTAAACTGACAATGTGTGCTTTTTTTCCCCTGACAGTGTGTGCTTTTTTAAACCCGGGAAAAGTGTGTGCTTTTTTACCCTGAAGTGTGGTTTTTATTCCCCTAAACAGTTGTTGGGGCCCTTTATTACCCTGACAAGGTGTTGCTTTATTACCCTGACAATGTTGGCTTTATTACATGCCCAATGTGTGCTTTATTACCCGGGACAATGTGTGCTTTATTCCCCTTTCAGTGTGGGGGCTTTTTCCCCTGACAATGTGTCCCTTTATTCCCCTTACAATGTGTGCTTTTTTACACTGAAAATTGTGTGCTTTATTACCTGAAAGTGTGTGCTTTTTTACCCTGACAGTTTTGTGTTTATTCCCCCCTGCGGGTTTTGTGCTTTATTCCCCTGACAGTGTGTGCTTTATTCCCCTGAAAATTTTGGGGTTTTTATTACACTGACAATGTTTTGCTTTTTTCCCCTGACAGTGTTTTTGTTTTTTCCCCCTTGACAGTGTGTGTTTTTTTAAACCCTGCCAGTGTTTTTGCTTTTTTAAACCCTGACGGGGGGTGCTTTTTTTCCCGACAGTGTGTGCTTTTTTCCCTGACAGTGTTTTGGTTTTTATTACCCGGACAGTGTGGGTTTTAAATTACCCTGAAAAGTGTGCTTTTTACCCGGGACAATGTGGCTTTTTTTCCCGGGAAAATTGTGTGCTTTTTTCCCTGACAATGTGTGCTTTATTCCCCCTGAAAAGGGTGCTTTTTTTTTCCCTGAAAATGTGTGTTTATTACCCTGACAATTGTGTTTTAAATTTCCCCTGCCAGTGTGTGTTTTTTTCCCCTGACAGTTGTTTTGTTTTATTTCCCGGGACAATGTGTGCTTTATTCCCCCGCAATGTTTTGCAAAAATTCCCCCTGACAATGTTGCTTTATTACTTTGACAGTGGTGCTTTATTACCCTGCAGTTTTTGTGCTTTTTCCCCTGACAATGTGTGCTTTATTACCCTGACAATGGGGCCCCTTTATTACCCGGAAAATTTTGTGTTTTTATTACCCGACAGTGTGTGCTTTATTACCCCGGGGACAATGTGTGTTTTATTACCCGGGACAGTGTGGCTTTATTACCCGGACAGTGTGTGCTTTATTCCCCCTGACAGTGTGGCTTTTTTAAACCCTGAAAAGGGTTGTGCTTTATTACCCTGCAATATGTGCTTTATTCCCCTGAAAAATGTGGCTTTATTCCCCTTTGACAATGTGTGCTTTATTACCCTGAAAATGGGGCCCTTTTTTTACCCTGACAATGTGTGCTTTTTTAAACCCTGACAATGTGTGCTTTTTTAAACCTGACAATGTGTGCTTTTTTTTCCCCTGACAGTGTGTGTTTATTACCCTGTCAGTGTGTGCTTTTTTTACCCTGAAAAATTGTTTTGCTTTTTTACCCTGACAATTTTGTGTTTTAAATTACCCTGAAAAATGTGTGTTTTTTTTACCATGACAATGTGTGCTTTTTTAAACCTTGACAATGTGTGTTTTAAATTACCCGGGACAATGTGTGCTTTTTTACCCTGCAATGTGTGCTTTATTAACCTGCCCAAAGGTGTGCTTTATTCCCCTTTGACGTGGGTGTTTTTTACCCTGACAGTGTGTGCTTTATTACCCTGAAAAGTTTTGTGCTTTATTCCCCCCGGGAAAATTTTGTTTTTTTTTTTTTTTTTTTAACCCTGAAAAATGTGTCCCCTTTTTTAAACCCTGCAAGGGTGTGTTTTATTCCCCTGACAATGTGTGCTTTATTACCTGAAAGTGGGGCTTTATTCCCCCGGGACAGTGTGTCCCTTTTTTTTACCCTGACAGTGGGTCCCTTTTTTTCCCTGACAATGTTGCTTTTTTTCCCCTGACAGTGTGTGCTTTATTCCCCTGATAATGTGTGCTTTATTACCCTGACAGTGGGGTGTTTTTATTCCCCCCTGACAATGTTGTTTTTATTCCCCTTGACAATGTGTGCTTTATTACCGGGGACATTTGTGTGCTTTTTTAAACCCTGACCTGTGCTTTATTACCCTGACGGGTTTGTGTGTTTTAAATTACCCTGACACTGTGTGCTTTATTACCCTGACAGTTTTGTGCTTTTTTAACCTGAAAATGTGTGCTTTATTACCCTGAAAATGTGTTTGGCCTTTCTATTACCCGACGTGTTTTGCTTTATTACCCTGACAATGTGTCCCTTTATTCCCGGACAATGTTTTTGCTTTATTACCCTGACAATGTTTTTGGCTTTATTACCCTGACAAGGGTGTGCTTTTTTAAACCTAAAGTGTGTGCTTTATTACCCTGACAATGTTTCTTTTTACCCTGACAATGTGTGTTTTTTATTCCCCTGACAATGTGGGGCTTTATTCCCCTGAAAAATTTGTGGGTTTATTAACTGACAATGGGGTGTTTTTTTCCCCTGACAATGTGTGTTTATTACCCTGAAAAATGTGTGCTTTATTAACCGGGACAATTGTGTTTATTACCCCGACAGTGTTTGCTTTATTCCCCTGCATTTGGGTTTTTGCTTTATTACCCTGACAATGTGTGCTTTTTTTTACCCTGCCGTGAGTCCCTTTATTACCCTCACAATGTGTGTTTTAAATTCCCCTGACAATGTGTGCTTTATTACCCTGACAATGTGTGCTTTATTACCCTGACAATGTGTGCTTTATTACCCTGACAATGTGTGCTTTATTACCCTGACAATGTGTGCTTTATTACCCTGACAATGTGTGTTTATTACCCGGGACACTGTGTGCTTTTTTAAACCCTGACACTGTGTGTTTTTATTACCCTGA